AAAAAAAAACTCAACAAAAAAAATGGAAAAAAATATATAAACCCCTTGAAAATGATAAAAAAACCACCCCCAAACCCTCCCCCCCCAACCCTCCCTGCATCAATAAATGTAATTTGATTTTTTTTCAGAAGGTGCCAACGTTTGGGTCTTGCTGAGGGAGGGGAGAGACCCCCAGGGAGAAGGTGAGGGGAGTCCAAGAAGCAGGAGAGGGGGATCCAGGTGAAGGGAACCCCAGGAATCAGGAATTCCCAGGGATCAGGTGAAAGAAGCTCAAGGATTATGTGAGGAGAACCCCAAGAAGTAGGTGAGGGGACCCTAAGGAACAAGGTAAAGGGGATCCAGGTGAGAGGAGCCCAAGGAACCAGGAGAGGGAGACCCCAAGAACCAGGTGAGGAGAACCTCAAGAATCAGGTGAGGGGAACCCCAGGAATCAGGTGCGGAGAACCCCAAGAACCAGGAGAGGGAGACCCCCAAGAACCAGGTGAGGAGAACCTCAAGAATCAGGTGAGGGGACTCAAGTGAGGAGACCCCAGGAAGCAGATGAAGGAGACCCTCAAGGATCATGTGAGGAGAACCCCAAGAAGCAGGTGAAGGGGGACCCAGGTGAAGGGGACCCCAAGAATCATGTATGGGGAACCCCAAGGAACAAAGTGAAGGAGACCAAGGTGAGAGGAACCCCAGGAACCAGATGAGGAGACCCCAAGAACCAGGTGAAGGGGATCCCAAGTGAAAAGACCCCAAGAACCAGATGAAGGGACCCAGGAATCAGGTAAAAGACACCCCAAGGATCATGTGAGGGGAACCCCAAGAAGCAGGTGAAGAGACCCAAGAATAAGGTGAAGGGGACCTCAAGTGAGAGGACCTCAGGAACCAGCTGAGGGAACCCCAAGAAGCAGGTGAAGGGACCCAGGAATCAGGTAAAAGGCACCCCAAGGATCATGTGAGGGGAACCCCAAGAGCCAGGTGAGGGAGACCCCAAGAACCAGCTGGAGACCCATGTGACCCCAGGAACCAGCTGAGGGAACCCCAAGAAGCAGGTGAAGGGACCCAGGAATCAGGTAAAAGGCACCCCAAGGATCATGTGAGGGGAACCCCAAGAGCCAGGTGAGGGAGACCCCAAGAAGCAGGTGAAGGAGACCCAGGTGACTCCAGGAACCAGCCATGCCAAGGCTCACGCTGTGCTTGGGTTTATTGGTGGGTACAAAGCTTCACAGTTTGGAGTCACCATCGGCGTTTGGGGTGGGGGAACAGCTCGTGGACCACCCAACCCCACCAAGATCCCCCCCCAAATCCACCCTTCCCCCTAAAAAGCTGCTCTGAAGTAGAAAAGGGCAGTGGGTGTTAGTCGGCGCCGTCGATGTGCAGGGGGGTGTGCGGCCGGGGGGCACAGGGGTGCCCGTTCAGCTGGGTGGGCACGGGGGGTTTTTTGGGGGTGAGGGGACAGGCAGCCCCCCCAGCAAAGGCACGTTTGGGGCGGGGGGGGGCGCTGCATCTTGTGCTCCAGCAGCATGTGGTTCTGGGGGGGCAGCCCCAGGCAGGCCCTGGGGGAGACAGAGAGAGGAAGGGTCAGGGATGGGCACCCCAGGACTGGGGTTGGCACTGGGTACCCACAGGGTGGGGGGCATGGTGGGCTGGGCACTGGGACACACTGCAGTTGGGCACACCAGGGACTGGGAACTCCCTGGATGTTGGGACTTGCTGGCACTGGGAATCCCTTGGGCACTGGGGCAAACTGGCTCTGGGAATCCATTGGGCATTGGGCACTGGGACTCACTGGCACTGGGAATCCCTTGGGCACTGGACTCCACTGGAGTTGGGCACCCCAGGTATTGGGCACTGGGACCGACTGGCACTGGAAACCCCCTAAGCATTGGGCACTGGGACCCATTTGCACTGGGTATCCCTTGAGCATTGGGCAACAGGACCCACTGGCATTGGGAACCCACTGGGCACTAGGACCCACTGGCACTGGGAGTCCCTTGAGCATTGGGCACTGGAACACACCAGTGTAGATCCCCTGGGCACTGGGACACACTGGCACTGGGACACACTGGTGTAGAACCCCCTGGGCACTGGGTACCAGGATCTGTGGGTGTTGGACACCGCCAGGCATTGGGACCCCACTCCCACTGGGCATCCCAGGATTGGGAACTGATAACCCATCCATACTGGGACCTGTTGGTACCGGGCATCCCCAGGATCCCTGGGCACTAGGACCATCACTCAGCAGAACACATTGGCACTGGGACCTGCTGGTGGCATGAGGTACTGGGACCCACTGGATTTGGGCACCCCATGGATGGACATTGGGCACCCATGGGCACTGGGGCCCACTGGCACCTTGGGGATGCCACACTGGGAGTTCTGCCAGGCTCTGGTGAGGACTGGGGCGGGTAGGACTTGGGTGGCACCTCCACG